TTCGATTTTTGTCACACATGACATGAGTTGCAGTTTGACGGTGGCCAAAATGTAGCAGGTGCCACAAATCGAACAACGATTGTTGAACGGATGAAACCAGGCAGGGAGGCCAAACCCACGAAATATAATCCCGGACGTTGCCCAATTTTTGCAAAGTTGACATGGGGCTTTAAGTGCAGTGCAAATTGCTTCACTTGGCAGTGCATTTTTTATTTTTTAACCTCCTACACGCTTTAATTATTCATATTCCGTACGGGTAATGAGCCCAAATAAATGATAAATTATGCAGGGGCGTTCGGAATCACAGCGCCCATGAATGCCAAGTTGGCCAAGCGGTTACAGCCAGGCCAATTTGGCCAAAATTTGCAGCTGTTGTCGCCGCTGGATGATTTGCATTAGCCACGCCCAAGGAGCTTCGATCTGCCTCTTTTTTGGTAGCCAGAAAAGCCATCAGAATGCAGTTTCATTTTTTTTCTCCTATGATGCGGTGCATGTTGCACGTCATGTTGGCCATGTTGCAGCTGAGCGCGCCCCCTGATTTATGACCCCGGGTGTTTATTTGCTGGCCGTGTCCGAAAAGTTGCCTCGCCGAGATTTATGTGCACCCCAAGACAAACCGCACGCAGCTTCTTGAGTTTGGAGTCGGTGAATAAACTGCACTAATAAGTTGGGGAGTTTAGGCCAAGTCAAGTGGCTCAGTGGCTGAGTGGCCGAGAGGCTGCCAGAAATGCCACAAGATACAAGGCAATAGACAAAACAAATGTTGGCAAAAGTTCACAAAGTTTTCAGGGCCCAAAAAGGAGCAAGTAGCATAAATCGTTTTATTGAGCGCATCAGGCAAAAAGTTGCAGTAGCAAGACAGCAATTTGCCAGTGCAATCCTGAGAGATGGGATAAACCGGCACAATAAAGGGTAAAACTTTGACACCAGAATGGCCTGGAAAAGAAATTGGCAACAGACGTTCCTGGTCCAATTGGCCAGGCCAATTGTTAATGGCTAATTATTTGGAGCTAACGTTTTTCCAATGCATCTGCTGCCGCTGCTGCGCCTATGAGAGCAAAAAACCAAAGACAAAACCAAACATTTCTTGGCACATTTCACACTGGAGGCACACAAGAAATGCACATAAATTTTACTTAGCCAAGTTCCAAAGAGTTTCGCCTGCCAAGTGGCAGCCAAAAGAAGTCAAAAGAAGTGCAAAGAGCGATAACAACAATAAGTTGCGAGCATTGCTCGAATGCACAATGCAAGTGGCGATAGTTTGCCATAGTTTAGCCATTCCGAATCCCCCGATTTACCCTTTTTCACCCCCCTTCCAGGCACGCCCATGGCTTTGATGAAACGCTCAATAATTGGGCGGAATGGGTTGGCTTTTTTCAGTGTTGGGGTGAGGTATTTGTACCTAGGTTCTAAAATGGGTACCTTTTTTTAAGGAAAATATTTCTAGGCCTTATTTGGATCACTTGGGCAAATATATTTCTTTGCACACCCTTATACTATTGTGATAATTTGTAAAATGAATTTCAATAGCTTTACAAGATAGGGCTTTCTTCCCTTTTTAAAGATTGTTTTATGTATATAGATAAAAAGGTAGATGTCCCAACCCTTTTTTAAAAATTAAATTCATTTTAAAAATAGTTTGATAAACCTTTCCGCTTTATAAATTGTACCCCACCTTGGCAAAAATATTCTTTCTCATCCCTAGTGCTATCCTTTTAGTGTCAGGCGAAATGGGAAGCCGCCAGCGAAATTTATGCGAGTTTAACAAGCAGCTAGCAACAGAAAGGTTCCGTTACACTTTCTTGCAGCAAATAGGCATAAATTTGCATTTAATGTAGTCGACAAAAACGGCAGTGGAAGGGAAAAAATGAGCAGCGCAAATGCCAAAAAAATTATTCTGCTATTTAGTATATAATTTCCTGGAATAGTCTTGGTTGGCTGTGGTGTTGTGTGGTTGGTCTGGTTTTTGGATCCGAGGTCCGGTCTGCAGTCGCCAGGTGCCATTAAAGCCGCATAAATTTTTTAAACTTTTGCCAATTTGCATTGCAAATGTTCCTCACACACCCATATAAACATATATGTAGGTACCACCAGCTAATATACACATGTGCCGGCGTTTGTATTTTCGCGTTCTGCATGTGGTTCCAAAAGCGTTTGGGTCAGTCTATTAAAATGCAAAGAGCCAGGATTCCATAGCCCCCACACACTCTCTCTATATCTCCACTTTTCGCCGGCCGGAAGTCCATTTTGTCTTGTCGTTCACATCATAAATATGGACGTTGAAATGGCGGCTCTGTTTATGGCCAAGACCAGTTTGTATGTATGTTGTGTTGCCGCTTTTAATGACAATTTGTTGAGGTTTGCATAAAATTTTGAACGAATTTCATTTGGCACACATTTTGGTCGACTTCGTTTTTTACTTCGTTTATTCCTCTTCGAGACCCGGCATAAATTTAAATAATTTTCGCTTTTGACGCCAGTGAAGTGGTTGTTTGGAGTGTGTCTGTATTTGCGGTTTATGACAGGTCCTATTTGGCATTTTACGATGGAGTGGTCAACTGTCTGGCCTTCTCGGCTTAGAGCCTCACTCAGCCATTAAAATTTCAATCAATCTAATCATTATCAATATATGCTGGCTTCCCACTCCATTTGCCACAATTCGAATGTCTTATTCATGCGCCTGCGGTTATGCAATGATAAATTTATGGCCAAGCATGGGTGTGGTCAAGTCGTCTCAGTCACTTCCGAAATGCTGCAATATTCACTTGGAATCTCTACACACATATATTTATTTATGTGGCATCCGAAATCAAAGCCAGCTTTTAAAATATGCTAGTTAAAGTCCCCGAAATGTATGAAAGTAGGGCAATACTTTTATTTTACAGTGTGCTTATCTCTGCTTTTGGTTTATTATTTTCCACACGGGTGCCTCGACATGACGAAATTTACTAGCCCCCAAAAAATAACAAATAAATAAAAAAGGGAACACTATAACAAGAAGAGAACGAAGACATCGACAAAGTTGTCGTCAGTTCGCTCTCACTGCTTGTCACTTAAAGCGAAAAACAATTTTTCTCCAGCTGAAGAAGTGTTGGTGGGCATGTGTGTATGTGTGTGTGGAAGCTATCTGAAAACCAATTTTCGTTGCTAAATTGATGTTTATAGCTATGTAGGAGCACGCCGACGACGGCGATGAGAATGACGATGAAGATGACGATGATGCGGCCGTCGATGGCTATGATGAGCTTGTTGCGGCCACCGCTCGTCGCCTCTGATGAAGACAAAGTGCCAATGCGAAAAACTAAACGCCAAGCTACCAAAGCAAGCGGAGCTAAGTCGAGTCAAGTACAGAGAGGAAATGTCACGAAAAGTGGTTCAAAAGGGCTTTTCTTCAATATAAAAAAAACAACTTGTGAGTATTGTTCCTAATTTACCCCTTTTACAAATCGGCAAGGGCACACTGTGGAAAAAACTGTTCATAAGGTACTGCGGTCACACTAAATTTGAAATAATTGCACTACATCCATTTATTTTTCTCAGTGCACTGCAAGTGGAACCTTCTCCCAGAATGCGGCAATGAAAATCCTTTTCGTCGCGACTCGAATCAACTCTACTCCCCAGCTTTTCGCCCATTCTTCATTTGACAGCATTTTGATGCTTCCGCTTGTAATTTATGTGACACTTGCAGTGCCATAGATCAGGCTGCGGGGCCAAGTGATGAGACTGCTAGTTTCTGCTGCCATATCCTCCTTTTTATTAGGTCCTTGCTACTTGGTAGCTGCTTTTGTGCGGACGCTTGATTTCCTCGAGCAAATTTGATCAATTGAAACAGGCGATAAACAATGGGTGGAAATGACAGGTAATCCACATGCTGCACTCAGTTAATTAGATGGCAAAGGAAGTGCACATAAATAAACAATTAGGTGGCAGTAGATAACCGAGGCGTATGCATACATGCAATTGCTGCATGTTAATTGAAGCTCACTCGCACACACTCGTCTTTGAAGGGGGAGAAAGGAACCCCATACCATTTTCACACACTCCCCCAACTGACTGAGTCGTCAGGCCCCCACCACGTTGTGAGTAATTTAAAACACTCCTGCTCGTGAATGCATTTGATATGCTTTTCTACCGCTTACAACTCGATGCGCTCGAAAGTCGCACCCCAACCAAAACCCTGAATCCCGAACCCACCAAGTGGAGGGCATGTGCATCTGCCAACGCCAACGCCATTATCTTGGGCATATGTCTAAGTCAGATCAAAGCCATAATGCTGGCTGAGTGCAAGTGGGGTGCAAGTGCGGATGACAGCGATATTAGGGCCAATTAGATGTCCGACTTTGCGAGGAGTATCACGGCAAAATGCATTGCTTTTATGACAGATTGCTGGAAAATCGCTTTCAGCGGTGATCAAAGACAAGCCTCAAGGAGACTCAGTTTGACAAAAGTGAAGTCGGGACTTATGCTCGTTAGTTTAAATTGGTTGCAAGTAAAATTCGTCACGAATGAATTCAAAGAAATTTATAGTTTAATAAGTGGAATGCTAATAACCAAATGTGCGTTTAGAGACAGAAGAACAAAGCTTACATACATTGGAGTTATTAAAATTTGATATAGATAACCCATTGATTGCTACTAAATACTTTTTTTAAAATAACTTTTCTGCGGAAGTGTATTTCTACAAAGTCTTCTTAACAGTAAACAGAAAAATAAAGTTATTATTCCAACCCGGAACACAGAAATTTGGTTAAAGCTAAGAGTACTAAGCAAAAACTATTATTATTTTTCTCTATTGTTGTAAAATAATTGCCCCAGTATGTTTTATCACGTTCATATTATAATTTAAATACTTTTCTAAGAACACTTATCTCATGACACGGTTCATTCACCAGTTAGGCACACCTGCAGCAAACGATGTCAGGTCTTTTGTGATATTTAAACAGCCGTTAATTTAATTAGATTCAGGGTTATTGAGAATAATAAGTTTGAGACCAGCCGTCAAAAACGAAATGTATCCGCGTTTTCTTAGACATTAGATCGCATTTGCTTGTTACTGTAGGATAGAAAGAAAACATTCATTTCCGTGTTCGTAATGAAAATAATAATCTGGTTGTGCCTGCTTGGCTGTATGGCCTGTGCCAATGGCGGTTTAGTCCCTGATGTGATAAAGGATAAGTTACCTTTGGGACCTTTGGGACGAGCCGATTCAGCGAACCCTCTCGATGCATTCACACATCCAACGGATCTTTTTGGCGGCTTATGGGAAAAATTAAAAGAGGTATTGTAAAGCAAGATACATTTACACAAGTTCTAAACTGATATTCGTAAGCCGGTTGGTGAAATTTAGTTTTGTTTTGATATCAATGTCAAAAATTCAAATTAAAAGTGAATGATTTTATTTCAAGTAATAGTACGCTAATCAAAAAAGGGATTACAAAACCATTTTGTGTAAAATTGGTTCTATAGATTGTCACGAACAAACTATTTCTAAAATTTTTAATTCTTCTGCTGGGAAGTTATATTAAGAAAATTCTCACAATATATACAATTAAAATACCTATAGTGATGTACATCATATAGATATATTGATGTCGTATATATTTCTTGCAGACTTTTGGTAAACCCATTTCTGTGTTGACTTGTTTTTCTAAGGAAATACAAATAGTGTTGCCAATTTTGTTTGTATAAAGCACGTGTTGTTTGTACAATTTCTTTCAAGAATTTAGTTTGTTTAAAACAAAATCTAATAATTATGATTTTCTTTTTTGTGCAGGGTTTTATGGAAGTAATGGAGCTTATCACTGGCGGCGGTGGTGGAGCTGGTAACGGGGAGTCATCGACCGAATCTTCGCCTTCTGGAGAAGTAGCAACGGTCAAAACTTCAGCAGTTTTAACAACAGAGGCATCAACTACTACTACTACTACTACCACAGAAGAATCAACCACCAGTGCCAGTAAGAAATAGTGCTTCAGCTCCATGAGGAGAAATTCTATCGCTTAACCTTCGAATCGGATATTGCTCGTCATTGTTTGCTTCTCAGCTGCTTTAAAGCGGGTATTTAAACAATGGGAATAAAAGTACAAGTAGCTGTCACCATATTTTACGCAGCTTGTGTTCATTATTTACGCAAATGTTGGGGAACCTCGAACCAGGGCAAACCATATAAAGTTCTTCCCTCATCAGTCGTTGATTGACAATGTCTCGGTTTAGTAATACCTTTATCATCCTATTCTTAACGATCCAAATGCTGGACTTTGTATTGCCAGCACCCATTGGGATTAATCTGGTGGAAACACCCAATGATCATCTCGTAAGTTTTGAGATGGTTGTCGATCGACAATCTGATTTTATGCTGCCCGACCTTGAGCTTCAATTGCTCAAGACGCAACAACAGCAAGATGGTAAGTTGGTTTTAGCTGCAAAGTTATATTTTTTTTATATAACTCTTTTCCATATGGATTGGCTGTTCCTTAGATGTGGAAGTTCTGCGCATGCAATTAATGCAGTTGAACTTACTGAAGTTGTTAATTGCCTTGGACCTTCTCATCTTGATAAGCATTTATTTCTGCGCCAGAGAAAAAAAATATAAACCAGTGCAAACCGTGTGATATGTAGATTATGACTACCATATATGTATATTAACTAAATTAACTTTGGAAATATATAACATATATATAAAAATACAATTTTGTATACTCTTTTCTAGAATTAGATTCCTTTTATACAGTTAAAACTGAATCTTTTGACTCGCTTTTTAAACAGCGTTTTGTGCCAATTTAGATTCGCTTATGGGTGTTTGAACATGAATTTCGCTTAATTAATTTTCATCAATGTAGTCCTAATGGTCTGTTTTAAATAAACTGTTATTGAATAATTATGGGCCAATTCACGCCTGCTGTTTGTTTAGGTCTGGCTGGCTGGGATCCAATGTATAATGCCGGTTCTGGCAACACACACTTTCGCCCCACCGAATGCATCGTTAAATATCGACAACAGTTGGCTCTATTCGGCTGTTTGTTGTTTGAACTTTTAGTTCATAAATATTAACAGCTATTAAAGTGCGCAAACATACAAGGCCAGTTCCGTTCAGTTCAGTTAAGGGCGGCAAATACGGGCTAAAAATTAATTTTAAAATTTAAAACTAACTGCATGCAATTTACGCGCAATTTGGCTGCCTTTTGGTTGCTTGCAAATGCAATGTAAAATGCATCGAGCGTGGAGGAAAATGCCATCAGGTGGTTGGTTTTTGGTGGGTTTTTGCAAGGAAACTCGGCTCCTCTCAGCCTAATGTTCATTTAATTAAAAGCGGAAATTGAGCAAGTGAGCCAGCCAGTGACCAAGCGGCAGAAAAGCGACGAGCCGTGGCCAAGAGTCTCCAAAAGTGGCCGAGATGCTAGCAACTTTTTCCCAAGTCGGTGCGGAGGAAATATTAAAAACGGAAAACACTTTGGGGCCAACTAATTCGCACTGGCTTGCTTTCGACACGGCTTCCACTCCGGCTCTGTCCCTTGCCATGTTTTCCCATTATTTTATACACACTTTTTTGGCAGCTTTCTTGGCCAAAAGCAAAAGTCTTGGCCTGGCACAAAAAAGGGGCGGCATAGCGAAACGAGTCAAGTTGAGTTGAGTTGTGTAGAGTGGAAGTGAAGTCGAGAGTGCCGAGGAAAAAAGGAAGCAAGGCGGCGCAATTAGCAAGTTTACTGCATGAAATTATGAAACGCTTAATAAAAGCATGCTTGCGAGCAAATGAAAAAAAGGAGCAAAAGTGAGTGAAAAAGGGTCGAAAGATGGAATATTCGTACAATATATTAAAACACAGAGCTTCACAAGTGCCGGCAAGTTAATTAAAAGACTCGCATATTTGAAAAGTTTTCCAACCCCACCATTTTTCCATATAGCCCATCATCACCATCACCATCACATCAGCATTACTGGTATATCCAGCCATCTAGCCCCATCATCATCATCATCATCAACGGCAGCGTTCGAGGCTGCAATTTAATCATGTAAGTGCTGGCAAATTGTTGGCTAAAATTAGAGCCAGACAAATATTGCGCATACGCCTAGTATCCGCATCCGCATCCGCGTTAAAAGGATGTTGTTGGCCATGTTGGGCTGGTTGGGCCGCTGTTGTGGCCGCTGTTTGTTGCTGTTGCCAAGTTTTATGCTAATGGTTTTCGTTTAAAGCCAAAAGTAATTTATTGTTGTCAGCGGGCGCCATCAAAAATGTTGCTGCACATTCATTATGCCCTCCGAATGTGTTGGTAGTACAACCCACCAACTCATGTGGGCCTGGCATGCATTAAAAATTTTAAGGTTTTAGGTCTGTGAGCCCCAAAAACTTGCATAGAAATTAAGTTAAGTTTTGGGTTTCCTCTTCTTTTCCCAGGCCAAAACAAATGTTATTTTATTTGCCTTGGCATGGCTAAATATCCCTTAAATGTGTACTAAATTAATTTAACTTGAGGCATTGAGCTCAAACAAACAAATGCCAAGTGCCCTAAAGCCTTGGCTAAATTTAAATATTTTACTCTGGCCAAAAGCACCATTTTTCTCTATGCCCTGTGACACGTTCGCGACCCACTGGCTGGTCGGAAAAGCGGGGAAAAACTATGCCAGAAGATAAAACAGCCGCGAACTTTGCAACATGTTTACGGTAAAAACGTGATTTTCGGCACAAAAAGCGGAGAGCTTGACCAAATGTGGCCGGGAACTGGCGGGCGCCTCGAACCCTTTGCCAACTGTAAATAAGTTGAGTTAAGCGGCGAGGCACGCGCAACCAAGGACCGCCCACAAACCAAGGCAAATGCCCTGCCCGACCGCAGCCATAAAAATTAAACATTTGTAGCTTTGTCACGTTTGTGTTGACACTTTCTTATCACAGTTGGGTGGTATGAGGGGGTGGGCCAAAAGGGGGTGCCACCCCACCCACATCCGTTTCCTGCTCATCCCAGTTAGGCCAGCAGTTTCACCCTCTCGACCCGGCCTAAATATGTGCGTGTGCGTGTCAGCTTTGACTGCCGGCCTGACCCACCTGACCCCGGCTGAAATAAAACTTCAGGTGAGTGTGTGGGACTGACACCAACCACCCTGGCAACCACCCAAACCACCGCACCCACTCGTCGTAGCATATGCTATGCGATTTCATTAAAAGCCGGGCAAGTACGGCAACGTGTCAGCCTGATTCTGGATGCTGGATCCTGAATGCTGAATGCTGAGTTTGTGGCTAAGACCCGGCCGCATGCCAAATGCCAACTTGGCGGGTTCTAGTGCCAGTTTTCGGTGGCATAATTTGCGTTTTCTAATTAAATGCGATTAGGGTGACATCAGCAGGTGATCCTGGGCTTGCAGGTGGGCTAAAATCGCACGAGTGCTGTCAATTTGAAATTATGGTAATTTGGTTTCAATCAATATTCATGCTAAAATGTTATTTCAAATTGGATTTACTTGGAATTCGTTTTAAGCCTGTTTTGATAAATATTCCCAAAATATGTAAAGTTATAAATGACAGAAAATATAAATTGATTTTAAGTGAATTATTTTATTCCTAAAATATCAATGAATATAAATATGATATGGGAAACAATAAGATTATAAATATTCCTAAAATGTGTTAAGTTATAAATGACAGGAAAACTAATATGATTTTACATATGAAACTTATTTTAATCCCAAAAATATAAATGAATACAAATTTGATATGAGAACCAAAAATACTAAAAAATTTAGTTGATGGGTTTTTGATTTTTTCTAAAATTTATTTATTTATTATTTCTTTTGTAAACTCAACATTATGATACTTTGTATTGGCATACGTGGCTTTCTATGCCTTCCATAAATATATAGAACAATTAAAATACCAACCCTCCTCCCATTTTTCATCTGTTCAATGTCCTGTTCCTCTTCCTAATTTAAGGACATTTTTTCTGCATATGTGGTGACCTGGCAAACTAGCAATTTTCATTACTCGTCGAAGGCAATCCTCTCAATTGCCGAACCGAAAGTGATTTCATTGGCATTATCCACTCCCATTTGGCTCAGTTTTTAATTCTCCTTCAGAAGCTGTCGGTCTCCTGTAGACCGATATTTGCATGTGTGGTCCATATTTTTTTCAGAGGTCAGAGGTTGGGCCACAGGACCCGCACCCAGAATATGTGCACTCTATTCCGACCACTCCGACACTCTGGCCAGGGTTTTTGGGCTCCTAATGCGTTGCTCTTGCCTCCAGGATGGGCTCGATAATTTCATTTGCATATTGTATACCGGCCACTGTTGCTGAGATACATTTTGTGGCTGAAATTTATGACATGCCATTTGGTCTCGAGCTGAGTTTCGAGTGGGGGAGCTAGAGGAGCCCACTGGGAGGTGACTTGGCAACTTTGTTGCCATGCAACTTTAATGAGTTGACGCACGAGACCACAGAACTTGACACCCAAAGGCTTTAAATTGAAAAAGTTTAATGAGCATGCGTATTTGATTAAGCTTTTGGAATTTCTTTTCAGTCGTGGTTTTGGCGGTTCCTTTGTGCTCAGATGCAATAATGGCAGCTTTCAGGATGCACCTATATTGACAATTCCCTCTATCCTTTTGACACCTGCAATATAGGTACATATATATAGCTGCAGCTATGGCTAAAATGAAAAAAGGAAGCAACTGAAGAGCAACGTATATTATTTGCATTCAGCTTGGGGCCTTTCTCGCAAAGTTTTCTGCTGTCCTTCGGCGACAAGGAAGTTGGCAAAAGTGCCTGGCAAAAAGTCCTGTGGCGTGTGCCATTGCTTATTGCTGGCAATTCAATTAAATGCAGAGCTGCATGAAATACCCTTCTGAGAAGTGGGCCATGTGAGCATCGGAAATCCATAAAATGCATCACATGCCATCAAAGGCTCAAAAGTTTTTTACCAAAGGTGCCAGGACATTTATTATTCGGCAGGCGTAGTAGTGTGGAGATTTCTCCATCCTCCCATTCTTTTTTTTTATTCGTTGGCCCTGCTACTTTCTATTTGTCTCAATTGCAATCAAACTTTGTGGCTTCCACTCAGTTCTTCTACCAGTTTCGGTTTCGGTCGGTTTTCCTTTCCCATTTTGTCACGCAAATTGCACAAAAGTTGGATTGACTTGAGCGGGAAATTAAGTTGATGGTTTCTCAAGTCAGGATTCTCGAGTCTAGAGTCTCGAGTCCTTTGCCGTTTTGTTTGCTTTACTCGTCTACGCGTTGTCATCGCCGCGTGCCTTGTACTTACTTATTTAACTTGCAATTTTGGCAGAATTTCGCAAGCATATTAAAAAGTTTTCGGCTAGCTCGTAAGTGGCGCACTCGCCTGAAATAATAGCTGGCTGCTGGCTGCTGGCTGCCGGCAAGGATGCACCCTTTAATTGCAGCAGCTTAAGGAAATCAAGAGTGCACACAAAACACAGAGCAGAACAAAACAGCAGCGGGAATATAGTAAGACTAAAACAAAACCAGAGCAGCCCCGAAAAGTGAAGATAAAGCCGGGCCACAATGCACTCAAGCGCATTGACTTCCAACTAGCTTTGACTTGTGCCAAGCCAAGCGTGGATGGGCCAAAGTAGCTCGGTTGACAACCAAGACAGGCCCGACTGAGCTCGTCCTCGTCCGCT